ATGGATGTTTACAGCTGTTTCTCTTCATTTTGAGTTGTGCCCTATCAGCAAATGAAAGTCCTGTGGGCTTTTCTCCCATGAGCTTTACTCCATTCGCATTATCATGGTCAACTCTACTTTGAGGAGGCAGCTCTTCCCCAGTTGCATTTTGAGTGCCTTCCAACCCGAGGGACTCATTTTTCGACACTATATTTGACAGTGTTTTTCTGCTATTCATAAGGTGTCCAGTGACTAAAGATTCGGAAGTAGTTTGTCACTATTTCTTCCTAGTCTATCTTTGTCTGGAAGCTCATCTGAAACCTGTCCACCATGGGTGACCCTGCTGGTTATTTAAAATACCAGTGGCATAGCTTTTAGAGTCACAGAAACTCACAAGCCACCACAGTATGACAAACTGACAGACAAGTGATGGCCATTTGTTTTTACGTGGAAACTGTCACTTTAAATTTCAAGGAGATCTGTGCGCATGCCTAGTAGAACCCTTCAGGGGTGGGGGTAGGGTACCCATTTGCTCAGGCATCCCCTCTAGTCACCAGAATGGAGGTGTGCAGACAGCGAGAGACCAATGAACAGATACCAAAAAATGAATGCCCACATCTGTACCTCCGTGGTTCTGTCAAGCATTCGTGGCTAAGGGCGATGGCTTAACAGCAAGATAAGCAACCTATAGCAAAGCCATATAGGGTTTCCAAGGAGCAACTGGTGAGCTTGCACCACTGATCTTGCAGTTCAAACTGACTTTACAGTCCATTAACCCACAGAGCTACACCAGGACACACATTCTCTCTCTCTTTCTCTTTATCTATCTATCTACAGAGAGACAAGAACAAATAACTGATGCTTTATAATAGCTTTACTGTCTAGACAATACTTTTGTGTAAACCCTCCCACGCTATTGTTTTTAAATGAAATTAGTATCCTGTTTGTATGGATCACTCCATTTGCACATTCTGTTTTTAACCTGCTTTTTCTTTTAAGCCTATGTCATACATGTGCTTCAATTTTATGAAATATTCTTATTTTTATTGTGTTAAGTATACATGTAACAAAAGGAGCTCTGGTAGTGTAGTAGTTACGAATTGGGCTGCTAACCTCAAGGTCAGCCGTTGGAAACTACCAGCCATTCCGCGGGAGAAAGATGAGGCTTTCAGCTCCTGTAAAAAC